AAGCTAGTATGGTGCCTTCTTGGACATGACAAATGATTTTGGGTAGTCTGGAAAGGAAAACGGAATTATTACTATTATTTTTGCAGATTTATGTGCACAAAAAGGAGAGATGAGAGATGCAGTTTCTTGCACTGGTGAGCACCCTCTGAGAACTTTTGAACCTGAATTGTTACTTTTTCTATGGTACTGTTAGGTTTTGGAGGACAAAGGCTGGTTCTGATTCTGAAAACTCCAGAACCCAGCCTAGAGGAAGTGCTCAGTCATGGCTGTAGAATGGAGATAAATGTGTTTTGCTCATTCCTTCATGTATTCGTTAATCACTCATCCCTCAGCATACATTTATTGAGCACCAACAGTGCTGGGTCTTTTGAGGAATGCAGGCAGAGCTTGTCTTCTTGTGCTTTGCCTTCTTGTGTTTATGAATGGAAGGTTTGTCGCAACCTGGCCTCAAGCAAGTTCCTCAGTGCCATTTCCTAATGTCATGTGCTCATTCCATGACTCTATGTTCCATTTTGGTAATTCTCACAATATTTCAAATGGTTTTCTTGCCATTATGTCTGTTATGGTGATCTGTGGTGGTTATTTGTGATGTTACAGTTGAAATTGAGTCTACATAACTTTTAGATGCTCTGGAATACCAGAAAATTCATGTGGCTTACTTTACTGTGATAATCACTATATTTCAATATTCCCTTTGTTTTCATGTTTTGGCTTCCAAACTTGCAATATCTCCAAGGTATACCTAGGTCAAAAAATGGAAGCCAAGTCTGTGTCCTCAGGGACTTTGCAATTCAGATAAGACTGGTTTGTGCATCTTCCAGTCAAAACAATGCGGAATGTGGGACAGATGTCTCTGGGACTCCATAGTGACTTGCATGGACAAGGAGCCCTCAAAGACACTTAGGAACACTTTCTATAATGTGGAATTAATGTTAATATTGTTCTCGCTGTTCTCTGTAGGAATCAGAAATCACTCATCAGAGGGAAATTGAGGCTAAAAAGACATTTGAGGATTGGAAAGAAAAAGAGAGAGACAAACTTCATGATGAGCTTAACAAGTTTAAAATATCATTGAGGGAGAAATTCAAAAGGATTTCCGACCACAGCTCTATGCTAGAACAGGTATCCAATGCAAAAGGCTCTTCTAAGTTCTTTTGTTGAAAATCTGCTTATTTCTTTTCAAAATGTATTTCTTAATTTGTACTAGTTTTATTTCACCTTCTGTTTGGGGTTACTATACTGTAATACCCTATGTCAATATCTGAGGCCTGTGACTGGGGTTGAATCACAGCTCTATCACATACTGGCTGTGAGACTGGGGTTAGTTAAACTCTCTGAGCCTCAGTTTCTTTTCTGTGAGACAGGCTGCTGAAAGAGTTAAATTAACACATACACACTCCTTAACATTATCTGGTGTCTTGTCATAACTCCAGATAGCCTTATTTTGGCGAGAGTTTTCATCATTGGACAAGAAATGAGGCGTGTTGTAAATGAAAGCATCGCTCTACCAGTAAACATTCTCTGAGTGCTAAGTACATGCCAAACACTGTGTTGGGTGCTCTGGAGGTCATACATAATAATTCATATTTAAGCTATAACTGTATTGACAACTTTTTCTCCTCTGTGCAGTGTGCTCTTTGTATCCACTGCCCTCTAAACTTCATCATAATCTAGCAACCATAACATTCTCAAAGTGGGTGCATCTCTAGTTTATTTTTTATTTGTTTTAATTCCCCCCCTTTCTCTAATTTCTCTTTTGTAAAGCTGTTATCACTACTTCTTTACAGATGAAGAAACTGAGGCCACATAACTTGCTCAAGGTCACTCATCTAGGTAAAACTGAAGCCCGGATTTGAACCTAGCAATTTAAATTCCAAAAACCCTGTTCTTCTACTGAATACACTATCAAATGCGTGCAGAAAATCCTATTAACATTATTCCTGGGCTCTATCTTTCTATATGAACCTGTATGACTAAAACTGTGTCAAAGAAAGAGTTCTGAGATAGAATATTTTTTAAATGCGTTCATTTCTCATTGGTCCTTCTAAATCAAAGAGAATCTTGTTTTTGACATTGAACTGTGTAAGAGTGTTTCTCACCATCATTCTTTGTTTTGCCCGATGACACACCTCAACAGTTTATTTCAAAGGAGGATCTACATAGGATATGAGTGGGTCTTGGGTGATCCATCATCTCAGTCTGAAATGGAAAGCCAAGGATGGGAGGTGGTGGGATTGAAATGAGAGATCTGTGTATGTGGGTGGGGTGGTGGCAGCGGAGGGGTCCTCTGCAATGACCCAAGCCCTCCCATCCTAAATCCTTCCCAGTTGGGTCAGGGACGATTTGTAGAAGACATGAAGCTATTCCACCATTTCCCTCATGCTCCTAGTATCCAGGTCCATACTCATCACTCACAAGCTCATGTCTCTAGACTCCTGCACTTCCTCTCACACAGTGCTAGCTGGCTGAATGTTTGATACATAGGTACTAATTCAATTTAAAGTTGTCATTCAGAAACGACTTCATCAAAGGGTCACTTCTGGTTACAAATTAAGTTATAAAATGAGGACATAACCTTTACCATCCATGATTTCCTAATTTAGCTTGAATCACATTATCCTAAACTAGGACATCATTTTTTGTTTGTTTTTTATGGCGTTTCTTTCTTCTATAGCATTACCTATGCTATGTTTTGGTGTTTGTGTCTCACTCCTGTCTCTCAACATTCTGTTATTGTACATTTATCAAATTATAATAACAAAACTGGATGCACAATTATCAGTGCAGTAAGATAATCATTTTATTAATTTATATTTTAAATTTCAGGAGCAAAACAGGTAGGATTCCATTTAGAATGACCATGGAAAGTCTCTGTAAGACAGTCCATTTTCAAAACACAAGAATAGATTCTCCTTCACGTTAGGAAGGTCAATGAGAGTTAAATACATTATGAAAATAGTTCCCAAAACATTTTGGGAACTAGACTGACCACGTTACTAGACTGAAGAGAGAACACTAGACTAGCTATGGAGAAAATCTAGATGGTAAAGGAGTCTCTGATGGAAAGGAAAATACCATGAAGGTTTGTATTGCCAAGGAAGTTAGCTCTACGGAGTGTCATAAGCAGCAGTCTGGAAATGAGAACTGACACAACAGAAAGCCAGTGTTGGGCATACATGCAGTCAAGCATTTGACACTAGGAAAACATTAAGGCATTAAGACATGGCTAACATTGGAACTCAGTATGGCTTCAGCAGTCATCGAAAAGAGTTAGCCAGAATGAGATCAAGTGAAACTCAGGGACTTTAATAGGACTTTAGAGTTTACACAATATAGACATGGAAATATGTTACTTTTCTTCCTGCATAGCAATAAATTTTAAAAATAATTTTAGGCTTGTGGAAAGTCATCCTCTCTTGGATCCAATTTTCCTTTTCCTTCAGGTTACATACTGCTAGCTCGGGAATCACCAGGTATTGGTGACAGAGCTCCAGCTGTGAAAAGTCATCTCTTCCTTGGGGCAGCCAGGATGTTTTATGAAGGGAGGGCAGAAGTCCTCAGGGAGTGACCTGGAGTGCCTGAGACCCTCCCATAGGCTCTGAGTCTGTTCCTCTTCAGCTGATTCCAGACTGGAAGAAATGGGGCAGCAGGTGGGCAAGGTTGAGTTTTAAGTGTAGTAGAATTTCAGTGAAATGAAAATGGAACTCTTTCACTCAGTTCTTCCATGGACCTTGTTTTTTCCTATGTAAGGGCTGAGCATTAAGGAGGGACCTAGTAAAAGGGGTTGCTGATGTGTGTGAATCTTTTCAGGTGTGTAGGTATCAAGTAAGGACCAGTGGGGGGTTCATGGTGGTTGAGTAAGGTGTGGTCCACTGACAATATTCAAGATATAAATGGCAACATCATGATTAGATTTTCATCTACAAAAAATGATGCCCTGACCTTTCAGAAAATGTGGGCACTGGAGTCCCACTGTTCCAAGGAGTCCAACTTCATATTGCTGATGGAGAAGATATGTGAGGAGCGAATCCAAAGTATACAGGAGACCACAGCCTTGAGAGACAAGTTGGCACTCCAGGTGAGCTGCTCTGTGCCTTTCTTCCCAGAGCAAGCCAAGAAACTTCCTCTCTTCCAAGTTTTCTATGAACTTTGGGAAGTTGAAGGACAGCAATGATCTTTAATTTCAGGCCTTCTGTGAAGCTATGGAAAGTGTACAATAAGCTTCCCAGGTGTGGTTGGAGATATGTGTACGTATTAAATTGGCCTAAGATCTTTTAAAAAATACAAACAGTGTGTTGTCTCTTTCCTAACACCTTTTCCTCCACTTTGACTTTTGCCCACTTAACTCTTAAAATGTCTGATTCTTACAAAGTGTGAATGAATTTAAGGATATTTGGGACTGGTCCAGTACTATGATGGTCAATGTTTACCAACCAGCTCTCTGAACTAAAAAAGCTTTGACTGGAAGCATTGGTCAATTTCTGTGTGTAAATACTCCCACTATGGCTGATTTCATGCAATCAGTGTGACGTCACCTAATGGAGTTGGGAAGACTTGTGCACAGTCTGCTCTCACAGTCTGGTAGATGATGACTCTGGCCACCACTGGATGAATCTTACTCCAGTGTCTTTAGGATGGCCTGTACCACTGATAATTCCATGACAAGGAAGGCAATTGGCACAGGCATTCAATCATGTTCTACTTCTGTGTCGTCTCTACACAATTATGGAGAAAGAGCTTGCAATCCTCTAGTTAGCAGGAGTGTTTCTACTGATTGTTGTTTCCCATGTTTCTATTATAGAAAAAGCTATTCTTTCCCCAGGAACTCTGTTTACCTTCTTGGTTTATTTTTCTATTATTGATGTTTTCCTTACCACAGTGTGAGCTTGTATAATGCTTGGAAATCAACCCAACCCTTCCTTGCTCTGGTTGTGACTGTTTGTATTCTGTTGAACCTCTAAAATGTTTACCATGGTTTGGCTATGCAAAAATGAGTCATGTTTATGGGGTCAATTTTATTAAATTATCAGTCTTTTCTTAATGACCACACCAATCTCAGACCTAAAAAGAAAACAGTCCTATGTTTGTAGTACTTTTTTGTTTTGTTTTGTTTTATTTTGCTTTGCTTTGCTTTGCTTTTTGCTTTGTTTTGTTTTGTTTTGTTTTGTTTGAATCAGAGTCTCACTCTATATCCCAGGCTGGAGAGAGTGGCATGCTCACGGTCATCCCAGCATTGACCTGCTGGGTCCAGGCAATCCTTACACCTCAGCTTTCCAAGTAGCGGGAACTACAGGTGTGCATTACCACACCCGGCCAATTTTTGTGATGTATTGTAGAGACAAGATCTCAACAAATTTTCCAGCCTGGTCTCAAACCCCTGGGCTCAGACAGTTTGTATTACTTTATGACCCAATAACTTTTTTTTTTTGGCTTAACCTATTAAGCACAGATCCAGGTCCTTATTTTTCTACCCTGCACCTTATCACTTGTTCTAACACCATTAGTCAATAATCTCCCTTCCTCTTTCTCCACCAACCAAGATTCCATTTTTTTCATCTTTGTTAGGGCTGTCTATTCTGTTCCATTACTTTGTCTGCCTAATCATGAGCCAGTATATGTTAATTTCTGTAGCTTTATAATATGTCTTAATATTGGGGGGGTGCATTTGACAGCATTGAATCATTTTGAGAACACCAAGAGAAAGGGGAAAAAAACAGAACTCCATCAAGATCATGCAGCTAAGAATAGAGAGGTGGCTCTTGTCAGGTGGTCTGAGGGAGCTTGGTTTCCTGTGATCATCACTTATAATTCAGCATCCTCCCTTCACTCCCTACACCTGTCCTGAAACTGGTTGGCAGGTATTATGTTGCCAATACTGTTCCTGGATGCTGACTCCCATCAGTTTTCAGAAGGGGTCGACTGTCCAGCCAGGGCCTGCATTCTATTCTCACTTTTACTCAGGCACAGCTCAAGAATGTACCCAAACTGGAAGATCATTAGCCTTCTTAGAAAGCTACCTGCCAGCTTGGCACAGGGGCTCACACCTGTAATCCCAACACTTTGTGAGGCTGAGACATGAGGATTGCTCGAACCCAGGAGTTGGAGACCAGCCTAGGCAACATAGCAAGACTTCATTTCCACAAAAAGAAAGTATCCAGGCATGGTGGTACATGCCTGTAGACCTAGATGCTTGAAAGACTGGGGCAGAAGGATCACCTGAGCCCAGGAGATCAAGGCTGTGGTGAACTGTAATCGTGCCACTGCATTCCAGGCTGCCACCTGCCCAAAGTAGAAACCCTTCCCCTGTTTCAGGTGAAACCCTTAATCATCATTTGCCTCATGTGCTGGCCTCGCTGACACTGGGCATTCACTGGGCTTCCCTGTAGACATTTGACTGACCATCCATCCTCTATCCAACAGGTTCAGAATGAGATTCAGAGGCAGACTTCCCTCTTAGATTATAGAACGTCAGTTGCTCAGCTGGAACACAAGATCTCCTTCCTTCAAGACCAGCTTCAGAGACAAGAAAGGTTCATGGCCTCCCAGGCCTCCCAGAAGAAGATGGTAGGTTTGTTCCTTGTTTCAGCCAGGACTCTTCCCAGAGAGAATCTCTGTGAAATATTCAGGGTTCATCGGTGCTAGCCTTATTTCTCAGGCTTCTGAAGAAGAGAGAAGTCCTCCAGTGTGGGGGTATAAAGTGATGAATATACAGCTGCCTTCTTCCAGGCTGAAGATGAGTCATCTTGCTTAGGGGCTGCAACGACGGGGTCGCTCTAACAGCAGAGAACACATAAAGTGCCCAGAAACTCTTTGACCCTTGACTCATCACCTTACTTAAGCATCCCTACTACCCTTCAAGGTAGGCTTTCCATTCTCTCCACTGCAGGATAGGTATGCATGTGCATGTGCTGGGTTTGTTTTATCTGAAATATTTTCTAATGGAAAATACACTCACATTTGTTCCAAAGCAGGAGAGGTGCTTGAAGGTCACTGAGTATAGTCTTCACTTTCCCCTATCCACATCTACCCATCCCTAACACTCACCTTCCCAGATATAATTTTTATTAATTTCTACTGTATTCTGCTAGATTTCCTTATGCCAATAGTAATAGATAGTTTTATTTCATCTCTGCTCTTACATCAGTGGGATCATCTTAACATATTTTCTTCACTTCTGGTTTTACCTAAAAACAGTAACTGAATGATTTTTGAATGGTCTTCATTTACCAAATTGTCCTCAGGTAAATTGGTTCTTGGCTAGATGGGTGGTCACATCTAGCCAAGAGCCCATTCTCTCATAGTCATGGACTCCATACTTACATTTACATACATTACTTACTTACTTTACTTTACATTTTAGGAACAGCTCAAAAATGTCCCCAAATTGGAAATTCTTTAGCTTAATTAAAAAGCCACCTACCTAGGTGTAGAAATCCGTTTTCCTGCTTCCAGTGAAACCCCGAGCCAGCATTTTCCTCCAGGTTCTGGCCCTCCAGACAGAGCACTCAGAGGTTCCTGCAGATATTTGACTGATCACCCATCCTGTGCCCAACAGTTGCAGAGAGAGATCCAGAGGCTTCAGGCCTCCCTGCAAGAGAACCAGAGGCAGGCAGATTCCCAGAATGAGCTGATCAGCACCCTCCAAGCTAATCTGCAGCAACAAACCAGGCTCATCAACTCCCTAAAAAGGAAGGTAGGTCTGTTTCGCCTTTCTGTCGGGTCTTGGTGTCTCCCGTGCTCTTTCCTAAGAGGATCTCCATGGATTCTTCAAGGCTCATTGGTGCTATTCTTATTACTCAGCCTCCTTAAGGAGAGAGGAGTCTTCTAGCATGAGGGGCACAAAGTGATGAGGATGTGCTGCTCCTTCCAGGCTGAAGAAGCCCCATGTTGCTTAGTGGCTACTGGCATACATGGTCACTGTCACAGCAGAGACCACACAAAGTACCCAACACCTCTGATGCTTTACTCATCACCTAACTTAAGCCTTCCTACCTCCTCCAAAGTAGCCTTCCCCTTCTCCCCAGCTTCATTTGAAAGATAATGAAATAGGTGGGAGAAGTTCAGTGACTTGCTCTAGTCTACCTGGGGCTTTACATAAGTGATGGGTGAGAGTCAACCCTAGGCAGGCAGCTGGAGTACAAAGTTTGTACTCTAACCAAGTCTCAGACTTAATTTGTTTTAGTTTTTGTTTTGTTTTGTTTTTAATCTTTTTAAAAATAGTTTTGTGGTGGGCACAAATAATTTTCGTCTGGGTTTTAAGTGTACTCATCATCCTCACCTGTGTCCTTGTACCTATGGATGATTTTTTGACCCTCCACCCATTCCCACTTCCCTTTTCTGAGTCGCAGTGGCCTCTACATCATTATCTAGGTCTTTGCCTACCCTTAGTTTAGCTCCAACTTATAAGTGAGAACATGCAGTGTTTAGTTTTCTGTTCTTGAGTTAGTTCACTTAGGATAATGTTCTGCAATTCCATCCAAGTTGCTGCAAAAGACATTCTTACAATCGCTTTGATAGGTGGATCATTTCATGGTGTGTATAGACCACATTTTCATTATCTACTGATCAGTTGATGGGCATTTAGGTTGATTCCACATCTTTGCTATTGTGAATGGTGTTGCAATAAATATGCCATGCAGGTGTCTTTATGTAGTGAGCTCTGTTTCTTTGGGTAGATACCTGGTAGTTGGATTGCAGGATCAACTGGTAGATTTAGTTGATTGAGAAATCTCCATATTACTTTTCATAGAGGTTGTACTAATTTACATTCCCACCAACAGTGTATAAACATTCCCTTTTCTCTGCATTGATGTCAGCATCTATTGTTTTTTGATTTTTTAATAATAGCAGTCCTTACTGGTATAATATGGTATTTTGTTGTGGTTTTAATTTGCATTTCCCTGATGATTAGTGACATTGAGCATTTTTTATATGTTTGTTGGCTACTTGCATATCTTCTTTTGAGAGATACCTGTTCATGTTATTTGCCCACTTCTCAATGGGGATATTTGCTTTTTCCTTGCTGATTTGAGTTGTTTGTAGATTCTGCTTATTAGTTCTTATCAGCTGTAGAGTTTGATAATTTCTTCTCCCATTCTGTAAACTGCCTATTTGCTCTCTGGGTTATTTCTTTTTCTTTTTCTGTCTTTTTTTTGTTGTTGTTAAGAGAAGTAGCCTTTATTTCCTTGTTTTGCAAATAAAGTTGGCTGCTTTCTGGTGATTAGTCAGAGACCAAATTTCATGTGAGAAAGGAGGATTTATGGAATACAAAAAAACTTTTGTGAGTACAGTGAGAGGGGAGTATTTATTGAGTACAGTGAGAAGGGACCTGAAGGGGTGCCCTTATTTATTTTTCTTTACAGAAGCTTTTTCATTTCAATAAGTCCCACTTGTTTATTTTTGTTTTAGTTGCATTTACTTTTGAGGTTTTACCCATGAATTCTTTGCCTAGACCGATGTCCAGAGGAACTTCTCCTAGGTTTTTGTCTAGAATGTTTATGTTTTCAGGTCTAACATTGAAGTCTTTAATCCATCTTGAGTTAATTTTTGTATATGGGGAGAGAAGGATCAAGTTTCATTGTTCCGCATGTAGTTATCCACTTGTCCTACCACCATTTCTTGAAAGGGATGTCTTTTTCCCAGTGAATGCTTTTGCTTGCTTTGTTAAACTCAACTTCTTTCAGGTATTTGGGTTTATTTCTAGATTCTCTATTTTGTTCCATTGGTTCCATTGTCAATGTGTCTGCTCTTGTACCAGTACCATGCTGATTTGGTTACTACAGCCTTGTAGTATAGTTTGAAGTCTGGAAATGTGATGCCTCCAGCTGTATTCATTTTGCTAGGAATTGCTTTGTCTATTCTGGTTCATTGTAGGCTCCATATGAATTTTAGGATGGTTTTTCTAATTCAGTAAAAAATGAGATTGGTAGTTTGATAGAGATTGCATTGTAACTGTGGATTACTTTTGGTAATATGGTCATTTTAACAGTGTGAAGTCTTCCAATCCTTGAGCATGGAATGTTTCTTCATTTGTGTCCTCTACAATTTCTTTCAACAGGGTGTTGTAGTTCTCCTTGTAGAGAATTTTACTCCTTGATTAAATATGTTCCTATGAATTTGAGCTTCTTGGTTTCTATTTTAAATGGAATTCAGTTCTCGATTTGATTCTCAGTTTGGTCACTATTGGTATATAGCCCTACTACTGATTCATACATGCTGATTTTGTATCCTGACTCTTTACTGAATTCATCTATCTAGTGTAGGTATCTGTAGGATTCTCTAAGTATAGAATCGTATCATCAGTATATAGACACAGTTGGATTTCATCTTTTCTATTTGTATATCTTTATTTCTCATTCTTATCTGATTGCTTTGGCTAGGACTTCCAGTACTGTGTTGTCTAGGAGTGGTGAAAGTAGGCATCCTTGACTTGTTCTGAGTGGGGTTGCTTTCAATTTTTCTCTGTTCAGGGTGACATTTGCTATGGGTTTGTTGTATATGGCTTTTATTATTTTGTGGAATGTTCCCTCTATGCCTATTTTATGGAGGATTTTTATTATGAAGGGAAGTTGGATTTTATCCAGTGTTTTTCTGCATTTACTGAAATTATCATATGAGTTTTGTGTTTTACTTTGTTATGTAGTGGATCACATTTACTGACTTGTGTATGCTGAATCACATTTGCTTCCCTGGGATAAAACGCATTTGGTCATGGTGTATTTTTTTAAATGTGTTGTTTAAATCAGTTTGCTAATATTTTGTTGAGGATTTTGGCATCTTTGCTCATAAGGGATATTGTTTTGTAGTTTTCTTTTTTTATGTTGTGTCTTTTCCTGGCTTTGGTATCAGAATGATACTGGCTTCATAGTTTATTAGGGTAGATTCCCTCCTGCTCAATCCTGTGGAATACTTTCAGTAAAATTGACATCAGTTCTTCTTGGAAGTTCTAGTAGAATTCAGCTGTGAGTCCTTCAGGTCCCGACCTTTTTCTTTTTTTCTTTGCAAGGAGACTTTTAATTACTGTTTTTGGTCTTATTACTAGTTATTGATATGTTTAGGGTTTCTCTTTCTTCCTGCTTCAAAGTCAGGAGGGTTGTATATTTCCAATGATTTACCCATTTTTTCTAGATTGTTTAGTTTGTTCACATAGAGGTCTTCATAATCGTCTCAGATGATCTTTGAGTTTGCATTGTTTCACTGTCATGTCTCTATTTTTATTTCTAATTAAGCTTTTGAATCTTCTCTCTTCATTTCTTAATTGATGTAGTCAGCAGTCTATTTATTTTGTTTATCTTTTCAAAGAACCAACTTTTTGTTTCATTGATCTTTTGTATGATTATTTTTTTAAATTTCAGTTTCATTGAGTTCTGCCCTGATCTTCATTTTTTCTTCTGCTGCTGCCCTGGGGTTTGGTTTATTTGTATTTTTCTAGTTCCTTGAAGTGTGATGTTAGGTTGTTGATATGCAATTTTTCAGTCTTAGAGATTTAGTCCTTTAGTGTTATGAGTTTTTCTATGAACACAGATTTGGCCATGACTCAGAAGTTTGATACCTTGTTTCATGTTGTCATTCACTTTGAGTAATTTAAAATATCCATCTTGGTTTCATTTTTGACCCAAGAGTCAATCAGGAGCTGATTGTTTAACTTCTATGATTTCATTTGGTTTTGGAATGCTTTTTTGGAATTAATTTCTAATCTTATTCCACTGTGGTCTGAAAAGGTGCTTGATATAAATTTGATTGTTTTGAATTTGTTGAGACTTGATTTGTGGCCTAACATATGGTCTATCTTGGAGAAAGTTTCATGTGCTGATGAAAAAAAAGTATATTCTTTAGTTTTGGAATGGAATGTTCATTAAGTGTCTGTGAGTTCTAGCTGCTCTAGGATACAAGTTAACTCCAATCATGCTTTTTTGACTTTCTGCCTTGATGATGTGTCTATTGCTGCCAGTAGAGTTTTAAAGTCTCTCAGTATTATTGTATTGCTGTCTATCTCCTTTTTTAAAAGGTCTAGTAGAATTTGTCTTATAAAGCTGAGGGCTCTGGTGTTAGGCAACTATATATTATAAATTGTTATATGTTCTCATTGGATTGATCTTTTAATCATTATATAATAACCATCATTGTCTTTTTTTCCATTGTCAATTTAAAGTCTGTTTTATCTGATGAGAATGGCTACTACTGTTCATTTTTGACTTCCATTTGTGTGGAATATTTTCCCCCACCCTTTTATCTTAAGTCTATAGGAGTGTTTGTAAGATAAGAAGGTCTCTTGAAGGCAGCAGAAATTTGTTGTTGTTTTTTAATCCATTCTTCCAGTCTATACATTTTTAGAGGGGCATTGAGACCAGTTATATTGAGTGAATAAAAAATGATATGTAAGATTTTCCTTCATTCATCTTACTGGTTGTTATCTGGTTGCTCTATCTATTTATTTATTTTCTATTGTGTTGGTGTTCCATAACGCCTGTGGACTTTCGGGTTTCCAGCATTTTTCTACTAGAGTATTTCAACCTTTTGTTTCAATATTTAGAACTTCTTTGAATATTTATTGTAGAGCCAGTCTAGTGGTGACAAATACTCTGTGTTTGCTAGTATGGGAGAGACTTCATTTCTTTTTCATTCTGAAAGTTAGTCTCATTGGCTGATTGTTTTTCTGTTTGAGGAGTTTGAAGACAGGGCTCCAATCCCTTC